GAAGAAGAAGAAGAAGAAGAAGAAGAAGAAGAAGAAGAAGAAGAAGAAGAAATAAAGACAGAGTCAAATACCTGTTCCCCCTCCCCCCCCCCACCACCTTACAGACTAAAAAGAGACATACAGGCTAATAGAGTTAAAACAACTCTAAAAGTGGCTGGAAAAACACAGGGAAGGGGGGAAGCTGAGTCTTCCCTGGGAGAGATCAGGGAGCACTCTCACACTGGCTATTTTCAGCTGACATTTGATAGAAGAGGCAGAATGTATGTAATGGACCAGCCCAGAGAAAACATTCTGAACAAAGGAAACGCATGTGAAGGCATGAGGTCATTGTATTGGATATTCCTGGCACTTCAAAATACCAAGATTGTGCAATGCAAGATGATGGGAGGGTGGTGGGGGTGCAGGACGAGAGGTTAGAAAAACTAGACCATAGGAGACAAGGGAAAGAAACTCAGATTATATCTCTGAGCACTGAGAGGCCACTGGAGAATTCTGAGCTGGGTCAGGTGAGAGTTATGTGTTATGAAGACCATTGCTGAAGGGAGACATAAGATAGCGTAGATGGAGTGAGAACTTGAGTCTGAAGCGGTCAGGAGGGTAATTGCAAGGGTCCAGGTGACCAGCAGGAAAGCACCTCACTGACCGCACAGTGCATTAAATGAGGAGGGCAGGAAGGCTGGTGTGGGATAGTAGAACGAGCGTCCAAATAGGAGGAAAGCATGTAGACAGCAGCTCTGAAATCCCTAGGACAGACAGGCGTGTGAGGGGCCAGAAGAAGAAGCAGGTGGAGGCCTCGCGCTGGGGCACTGGGGGCTGTACACTCTCAAAGGAGCCATGCTGGAAGATTTATAAGTTATCAATGGATCTGAGAGGTGGGGTGTTCTCTGGTGGCGCAGAGAGAAAAGGAGGAAGCCAAACTTTGGGCAGAGCACAGGTAGTCTTGCGGAAGGAGACAGATAGAGGAACATGGAGAGGACAGGAGCCCCACAAAGAGACCAACAAAGCTAAAATGTCTGAGCCCAGGGGGTCCTGCACAGACTGATGCACCAACCAAGGACCACGCATGGAGAGAACCTAGACCCCCTGCTCAGATGTAGCCCATGGGCAGCTCAGTCTCCATGTGGGTCCGGAGGAGAGCAGGGGCTGCCTCTGTCATGGACTCAGTTGCCTGCTCTTTGATCACTTGCTCCTGGTCATGTGGCCTGGCAAGAGGATCTAGGCAGTATTGATGAGGCTTGATAAGCTATGGGCAGATAGCAGAGGAGGAGAACTCCCCCTTTCAGTGTACCAGGGGAAGAGGATGGGGGAAAAGGGAAGGAGGGGGGGATTGGGAGGAGTTGAGGGATGGGGCTTCAGTCAGGATATATAATGAATAAATTGTAAAAAGAAAAACTATTTTTTGAAAAAGGAACAAATGAGTTAAGACAGAAGAAGAACTTAGAATGGAATTGGACCCAGCATATGCATTCAATAAACACTGGGCTGTCATTACTACCATCACCATTTCTTAAGATAATTGTATTGTTTTTTTTTTTTTTTGTGTGTGTGTGTGTGTGTGTGCGCTTGTGTGCATGCATACACATGCACGTGTGTCACAGTACATATATGGAGGTTTGAGGACAACTTGTAGAGATTGCTTCTCTTCTTCCACTATATGGGTCTCAGAGATCAAACTTAGGCTTGGTGATAAATGCTTTTACCCACAGACCCATTTCACTGGTCCATCATCATTAGCATCTTAACAACTGTGAATATCACTGTGATATGCCTAATATTAATGCATTGGATACATTTGCACAAACATACTAGGATTATAACTGGGCAATTTTTAATGGTGTGGCCCAACAGAAACAAGTATGTGTTTAATAAATAAACCTTTGATACTTAGCCATGGTGTGTGTTCTTAATTTAACATTCACATACTTAGGTTATAGAAATTATATTATTATATTACATTACATTACATTACATTACATTACATTACATTACATTATATTACATTACATTACATTACAGTTTTTAGAGCTCGTGACATAGCAGAAAATTCTGCTTCAGGCATATGAGTTCCAGGAAGGCTCTACCATCTATAGGTGAAAATCTTTGGGACACTCATTTTTCTAAGGAAACTGATGCATTAATTGTTCTACTTCCTTTCTTCCTCCGATGTCAAGAACTATTATCCACAAAGAGGTGTCGAGCCTTTCCTCGGGGTCACAATCTCGCTTACCCTTAGAAAGCTAGGGCTGCAACTCCATGAAGAATGGTAGTCACCTAATCTCCAGGTGTTTCAGAAACTAGATGAATTCCTCCTCTTGACTCCACTTGTGTATTATCCATGTTGTCAATAGACACATAAAATATACCTAAGCTGAAAGCATGCTTAGCATCCCAGAAAACCTTGAGCTGAGGCAACCATCCATCACCAAGAATGTCCCAGACTCAGACACGTTCGATGTGCTGTCACTGGTATGCATTGTGAACAGTAAAAATGGTGGGATTTTACAACATCTAGTACCAGTACCAACCCCCAACATCATACCTGCCACTTCTTGGCAGGCTCCTGCACATGCACACACACGCACACACCTTGATGCAGACTACATGTTGGATGTTATGACAGCTACATGTTCCATAGAAATTCACTTCACTCTCAGCTTTTCATGGATTTCAACAGCCTAGAACCAGAATAGGTCTTAGAAGGAGCAGAAGCTCATGTTCAGGACTTAGGTCGATTCGAAGCACTTTCTCCCTCAGTGGCTGCACTGGACAGAGCAATATGTGTGGTTTGGATGAGAATGTCCCCCACAGTATCGGGCATTTGAACACTTGGCGTCCAGTTGGTGGTGCTGTTTAGGCGGGTTGAGGAGGTGCAATGTTGTCGGAGCAGGTGCAGCACTGGAACTGAGCGTTGAGAGTTTAGAGCCTCATGCCATACCCAGTGTGCTTTCTCTGCCCCATGCTCAAGGGTGAGATGCGAAGTCTAAGCTTCCGGCACCTTCCAGCATGCCCTCTGCTTGTTGCCATGTTTCTGCTGATATCATGCACTCTTATCCAGTTGGAAACATAAGACAACATAAGCTCTCTCTTCCTTAAGGTTCTTTGCTCATGGCGGCTGGAGAGAGGGCTCAGAGGTTAAGAACACTGGCACTCTTCCAGAGGTCCCGAGTTCAAT